CCCCTGCTAATCCAATAATCCAATAGATGATATTCTCATATCCTAAAAATCATGTGAAGTACTTCAGTGCAAAAACATACGTTCATTTCTATATTCCCTTTAACCTAGAAAAACTAATGCTATGTATTTGACACATTAAGAATACTTTGATTTGCTATTCTTCCTAAGAATAGACCAGGTTAATCAATATTGCTTGGCTTCTTTTACTCTTCTTTCTATATTTGGCACATTCATTTGTTCATTTAAGTAATCTAGGAAATCATAATATTTTTACTACTAAATTTGGTATAGTATTATTTTTCTTCTCCAGAGCTTATCTGTATCTAATTGTAAAATGCCAATCTCAGAATAAAATATGAAATGTTCTGATATGTTTAGTGAATAATTATTAAGGTTACATCAATCCTGTTGGAGGGAAATGTGTATACCATTTTTCCTTTCTTTTAAGCTCAATCTTCAGTTATTCATCTCTGTATGCCAAACTTACTAAGGACCCTAGACCAAGATTTACATGTTAAATTTCAAAACAGCTCTGATTATCTTGGAGACAACTATGGCTACAAACATTTTTTAAAGTGTCTAATATTATAGGAACTTAAATTGACTAATTTTATAAGTAGTATCTATTGTATCAATATTATCTATTTTTTAAACAAAGGAAATATTTGAAGCAAGGTGAAAATAGTAATGTAAAGGGTGGGTTCCCTAACCAGACTTTTTATATGACTAACTGCCATCTCTATATTAATATACCTAGGCAAAGGGAAAAAAAAAGAACAGAAAGAGAGGGATAAAAGATTTAAGGGCACATATGATTACAAGTACAAGCCCATCATGGACAAGATTTCTTTCTAATCCTCTGTCAGCTAAGAGCTATTATTAGAAATACATAGGATAAGGCCATTCTAATTGAACACAGTATCTCAGGTTCATCTTTACTCTTTAATAAGAGTTCTCAGCTAATTCAGATAAGCATGCTGATTGTGTCATTATGCTATAAACAACACTGCAACTGTTTGCAAGAGCTCATGGATTGTAAAACCATACCAAGGCAAACAAATAAGCCCAGGCATCTTTGTCTTAAAAAATTTTCTTATAAAACAAGGGTGAGGGGGGAAATATTAAAAAGGTATCACAATCACAATTTACTTTTAAATTTACTTTAAAAACAAATTCTAATAATTATTATCCCATAAATTTATCATAAATTTAATGTTGTTAATACTATGACACAGCAGATATTCAATAGGCCTCAAATCTAGTATTCTAATGATAACTAACAATCTGCTTAATGTATTATTTCCTTTAGAGCTGTATCTTTCTCTTCAGCGAAGTATGTTAGATGTATATAACATATATTTTTAAAATATATGAATTTTTATAAATATATATGAATATATGTTCATATAAATATATTTAAAATACTTGGAATTCATTAAAATATCTAGAATAACTATTAAATATTTTCATGACTTTCATTTAAGTCCAATATATATGTTTATTATTAGATAATGGGTTGGTTATGAGTTTATTGATGAAAAAATGTACCCAGTCATGTCTGTTCTTGGATTTAAGCATCTGGTACAATTCTCAGAACATTATGGGTATCTCATAGATACTTGTTGAATAAATTAATTAATGTATGAAGAATATGAATTAGTGTTTAATACTTTATGGAACTAATTATCCAGTGTTTACTACAGGTTCAAGAAATATTTGACTAATTGAATGATTGATGGAATAATTACAGTGGAAACAAAACAAATTGAAGGTGTGGTTTGGAAGTGAAAAAGACAGAGAAGATTAATTATAACAATAATCAGGACAATATCAGCTGGTGATCAAAACAAAAGTAAAGTAATGCCAATTAGCAATTTTAATGATACTTATTTAATTTATGTATCTTAATTTTGAGATAAAATTTAATTCTAAGTAAATATTACAAAACTTAGAATTCAATATGACATAGTTTCAATAATTAATAAATATGGATTTTGCTGTTAAAGTGGTATTATTTTAGAACTTTGTTTTGTGATTTTTCAGTAAAAATAAAACATACATCTGAGAATTTTTAAGTGTATTTTGTCTTTCTTTTCTCTGTAATCATTGTGGAGATAAGGACAAAGAATATACATAAAGAAAATGTCAAATTTATTTTTACACCATTAATGATCCTAATAAGTTCATCAGTGATCTCTATATGGCATAAGATATAGTCTTTATTCATAGGTAAAATTAAATGCTACATTTATTTTAAATTGATAACAAATAGTCATGATGATATTGTTTAGGTTAGAAAGGTAAGTTCTAGAATTGAAATTTGGACATTTTGTATATATTTGTACATCATGAACTTCTTTCATGGTAGCAAGAATTCAATACCTTGTCTGAATGGATTTTGCTTAAACAATATTGTTTGGTTTTGGAAGCTCCATTTAGAATTTAAATAGGCTCTATTCAGGAAACTTTCTTTTAATAGGAGTTTTAGTGTGATTTTTTAATTTGCCAATTTTATGCAAGATTATAATAATGTCGAGAATTGAACAGAATATTCTGAGATAATCTGTAAAGAACTGATTTTTATATTATGTATTATTTAACCAAGAATGTCTAATATTATTTCTTACTTATATAGGATATTCTACATTATTATTTAATAGAACATTTGTTAATTTGTCCATAAATGAAGATCTTACTCTTAATTTTTCAAACTATATGAAATTGTTTTCACATTGAATAAGATGTTGAAATAGAATCATTCTCAAATCCGTTCATTTAATAACTCACAAAATACAATGGTAATATTCCAAAATTTAAAGACACTAAAAATGGCACACTAGCTAATGTTATGTTCTAAGATAGAATGAAACAGATGAATTTCTTTGGTGTAAAATTAATACAGGCTATTATAATCATACAGATATTACATTGTTATATTATTTGATGATTTATCAAAGTGACAACTTTAGAAATTTCTAGAAGTTAGATACATGCATATCCATACCACGTCTCTATTTGCTAATACACTTTTAAGCTGGAAAAAAATCCAGGTGTTTTAGTATTTGCTTTTGAATCTAATTTCAGAAGATTTTGGCTCAGATAATTAGAAATATCTAAAATTTCTAATTTGAATTTGAGGTAACCTAATAGTCCCTGCTTAAGATGTCCTGGAAACAGCTATTAGAACTTAATTCAGCTTGATTGATGTCCACACAATTGCTTCACAACTGTCTCAGGATAATTTCCTCTATGCTTTGTTGTTTACATCCTTCCTGAGAATTTTTGTTAAGTTGATTAGGAGGGAACAGGTGTACCTGTAGACATCAACAAAGGCTTTTTCTCTATTTCAGAATTTTTTTTTTCTGTTTGCTCTGTGGGCCAGCTGCAAAGTTCTCTAGCCATTGAATTATTTAAGCTGCAATTCATGAACTTACTTCTCTGAACACATATAAAACAGGATGACTTGTGTTGGTCACTATAAAAAAGATGTAGTGGTCCAAAGATACTCAAAAATGAGAAGTCCATTTTATTTTCACACAACATGGAAATAGAGCTAAAAGTTCATGAACTTCATACTTCAAATTCTCATTTTTGGGGAAAAACTGTAAACCTCAAATAAAAAGTTTTTACTCAACCCACCAAACAGCTACAAATGCTACATGCATGAATGGTTCCAATACAAATTTTCAGTCAGATACAACTGATAATTGTCTGAAAGACTCATGTGTTAATATTGAACCTATTAGGTAGAAAATTATAAATCTGCATAACATTTATGTGTGAATATATGAAAAATATCTGTATAATTATAAAAATATAAACTTATGAAAATATACCAAAAATATTATGCTCCTTTTAAGATTGATTTTATTCTTTTTTTAATTGAATATACTACGCATGTTTCACTGCTAGGAAAAAAATATATAACTTCATTAAAAAAAAAGTTCAAGGAAGGATAAATATCCTTACTGATAACTGATCAGAAGACCCCACATAATGTAATTGAAAAATAACCTACATATTTAATATTTAATTTTGAATGTAAGGCAAAAAATTTTGATTGTATATCATAAGTGTTGTTGTCAACATGAAAAATTGTATGTAGAGTTTTAATTCATCTTGGATTTAGAGCTTTCTTTGTGATGTCTGATAGAATATAAAGATTCAAAGATTATAATAAGTATGTGACTTTCAAGATTATTCAAGAAACAATAGAGCTTTGAGCCCAAGGATAGTTTTCATCTTCTTAATTAAGGCAAAAATAAACGAAATCATGTTGAAATTTTGATAGTGAGGTAAAGCATAAATGAAAAATTTTTACAAATTTCCATCTCCAGAGTAACAATAAAGTAGCAAAGGCAACATATATCGAGCTATATCATAGATTTTAAAAGCCTTATAAAAATATTTTGTAATTTTTACTCAGGCATTTGAGTTTCTGATTCTATGACTGAAATATACTCTACACATCAACAAAAATCAGGCAATTTTTGTTGTGATATATTTATCTTGTGAAAAAAAGACAAATTTTATGTAGAAAATCATGGTATTCTTTTTATACTTGAAATGCTTATTTTTAATTAGTCTTGGTTTGTATTTTTAAAGCCTCCTTTCAAAGTTTACCACTTTAGTTTTTCTTATAGCTGTTTCATTAATTTAAATTAGTAAAATATATTGTTTTGTTGTCAGGTTCAAGAGAAATTTTCAAAATGAAGAAACAATTTTTATATCATAGTGATCTGAACTGTATTTAGCTTCTGCTTAATAAAAGTAAACTCTACCACACTTACAGCTTACTGACACAACCAGCATGCTTTCTGCCCCAAAAGGCATCATAGTACATTTTAATAAGTTATATGTCTCTGAAAAGTTCATTATTCTCCAGCACCCAAGGGGAAATAAAGAAAAAGAAAAGTAAAATTGATTGTGACTTTTGACAATTATTAGTTAGAAAAAGGAGGTAACAATTGCCAAAAAAATCACAAAAGTGAGCATGTTACCTGGCTATGACAAAGAGCACACAACTGACACCCAAGTAAGCCAGCAGAATATACATCCAGATATCAGGGGAGAGAGGATTCAGGAAGGAGAAGACGCCTGGGTTTGTACCATTGGGCTTGCGGTACAAAATACTTATTCCAAGTGTCATAAAGGGCTTGGAAAAGTCGATGACCTTCTCTCGAACGTAGGTAATAGCCAGTGGAGCAACTGCAAGGTCGGCTTTCTGTAGAGAGAAACATAAAAAAGGAGGAAAAATGGTTCTAAGTCACAAGAAAGTGGTAACCAAATTAAACAAAATGAAGACTTTACACTTAAGAATTGTCCCAGTAATGGTCATGTTACCATTTAAAAAAGCATTCTTCACTCTGAAATGAAGCATCTGATTTACTCTGTTACTCATTTCTGAGTCTCTAGATTAGCACATCAGCAGTTATTGCAAGTAGACACAGAAAGAAAAAAATTCCAGGATAAAAAAATGACAGAAACTGCTGTACATTCAACACCTGAATTATTATGCTATTCAACCTGCTCATAATTACTTTTAATCTAAAGTGTAAAAACAGCATCAATTATGATTTTCTAAATACTTTGGTCAAATTAATAATAATAGTAATAATAGTAGTAGTAGTAGTAGTAGTAATAATAATAATAATAATAACTACCTCAAAATATTTAGCTGATAATTAAGAAACATTTTTTCTGGTTTTAAAACTATAGAGTATAGTTAAAATGTTTTAGTCTTTGATTTACAATAGTGAAGACATGGAAACAACCTAAACGTTCATTGACAGATGACTGGATAAAGAAGTGGTGGTGTA